GAGCGCTCATAACCACTGAGCCATCCCTTCAGCCCCCAGCTCAGCCGCTCTAAGGAAGGCTATGCTGCTTGCTTCCTCCCTGAAGCCAGAAACACAATAGCAACCCTGTTTATGAATTTTAGTTTTGTTTTCAGGACAACCAAAGGCACACAAAAGGCATTAAAGGGGTCTAAGAAACAAGAGCATGGATTTGGGGTGTGTGTGTGTGAGTCCCTGTGCACTGCTGCACTCTGTTCTGCGGAGGGAACTGTTGGCTGCTCATTAAGTGTTCCGGATGCATGGGGGGCTCAGTGCAATTGTTCAGGTAAGATGTTCTGCAGTGGCATGACTGTTTGTGGATTATAGGGTTACTTTACAGTTCAAGAGTGCCTGGAAGAACCTATACACTCATTTGCCTGTTTTTATGTGACTTAAGAGCAGTTTTGTCATTTGGAAACCCTTGTGGAGGTTTGGAGTTAGTTCTCTAGTTTTTGCATCTGGTCTCACTTTCTGTTGTATAAACAATTCAATAGAAGCAGAGAGCTTGCCTGGCTGAGGAGAGAGCCCCCTTAGGAGCCATGTGACCCGAGCGAAGTGCTCTTCTGATCCCCAATCTCTCCTTTGTGCAATGAAGAGAACATATCGCCCACCTTCCAGGACAAGCTCATCAGTGTGTCAGTCCTCTTTGAAGTACAAAGTGGCTATGCAATCAGGGTATTATCCCTCCTGCCATCATTCAGTGTGACATTGTTTCCATGGGAAAGCCTGAGTTGCTTTATGACAATTGGATTTGCAATGTAGTTTCCAGGAAAGCATTTGTCTCAAAGCAGTCATTGGCCAAGAGCAACATAACCTGACCCAGGAGTAAAACTCATCTGTACTGGCACACAGAGCTACCTAAGAGGGCTTGAGAGAGAAAAAGACTTGTACAGGTTGGGAGGCTTGTACTTTTCTACCGAACCTTCTACAATGGAATCCTTGGGTAAAGTTATCCAGGGTGATAGGGAAAAGGTAGGAGTATGTGATGCATCCATCATCTGTCTGTCTAGATATTATTTATTTATCACTTATCTATCTATCTGTCTGTCTGTCTATCTATCATCTGTTATCTATCTATCTATCTATCTATCTATCTATCTATCTATCTATCTATCATCTGTCATCTATCTATCCATCCAATCTATCACTCATCTATCTCTCTATCATATTTCTTTCTTTCTTCCTATTCTCTCTCCCTCCTTCCCCCTCTCTCCCCACCTCCCTTTCTCCCACCTCTCTCCCCCTTTCTATCTAAAAGAATTGTCTCTTGCATTTGCAGAAGCTGGTAAAATTTGAATCCTCAGGCTGGATTGGCAGGTTGGTGACCAAGAAGAATAACAATTAGAATCCAGAGGCCAACTGCTGGGAAGAATTCCCTGTGGCCTGGGCAGGTTGGTCTTTAATGTATTCAGGCCTCCAACCGCCTAGATGAGGCTCACCCACATCCCACAGGCTAATTTGCCTTATTCAAAGCGTTCTGATCAACGTATCCATCTTATGTGTGCAGTTCTCTCCCCTAAAACACTTATAATAATATTTAATGAAATATCTTGGCATGGTGGCCCAGCCAACTGTCACATAAAATTCACCATCACAGGTCTAGGGATGTGGTTCAGTGGTAGACCAAGTATCTAGAATGTGTAAAGCTCTGGCTGTGAGCCTCAGCACCAGGAGAAGTCACCATGTATGTGCCCTCTCTTCTAGCCCTTCCTTCCATCCCCTCTCCAGGGCCCCAGCAGTCACCTAGAAGTTGCAACATTTCTTTCTTCTTCATGTATTCATAGGAGAACCTAGGTTTGTGCATTCCTATGGCTGGTCAAGTGACAGCTTCCACTGAGGTATATGGCCTTGGTGAAAATTTACCCAGGAGGTGAGTCACAGAACCACTAATTCTTTTTTTTTTTTTTTTTTTTTTTTTGGTTTTTCGAGACAGGGTTTCTCTGTGGCTTTGGAGGCTGTCCTGGAACTTGCTTGGTAGTCCGGGCTGGTCTCGAACTTACAGAGATCCGCCTGCCTCTGCCTCCTGAGTGCTGGGATTAAAGGCGTGTGCCACCAACGCCCGGCTGAACCACTAATTCTTACCCATCTTATACATCCTCCATGGGAGATTATCTGGTCCAGCAGTATTCCCTGATTTTGTGTGTGTGTGTGTGTGTGTGTGTGTGTGTGTGTGTGTTTGACTCTCACCTCAAGCATTGTAAGTATCCTCTGTACATAGTGTGAGCTTGGGGATGGGATCAGACCAAGTCTGAAGAGAGATAATGGCTGGTGAGCCACTGGCTAGCTTCTAAAGGTAGAAGAGTGTTGGTGACTTCACTTGGGACTACCTGTCTCAGATGCCCAGGGCTAAGGATACATGTTGGAAGTTATCAGGATACTAGAACCTGGCAACTTAAGGGAGGGAGTATTTATAGAGAGAACTGAAGTACATCATGGCTCAGATACCATGAAGTAAGATCTTGTGTTTTCCTTTATTCTTCTCTCTCCCCTCTGTAACCTGGAGGAGCCAGAAAGGTGACAGAGGAGGGACAACAGTACCGAGGGAAGAAGGAGGGAGCTAGTCTGACATTGATGGCTCATCTGTGAGGCTTGGGCTGGGAAGTGGCGGTGAGGTTGTTGACTTGGTGACTATGTCCCCTTCCCTCTTTGGGGTGATACCATAGTGGCTTCTTCACATCAGGATTACTAGGCCTGGCTGGGTGACTTGCCAAATGGGATATTGGCTTGTGTCACATGCACAAAGGTTTGTAATGTGTTCCAACTGGAACTTGCTTCCTGCCCTTCTCCTGTCACCATCTAATACACACCTGAAGCCACACCCAGGGTAGTGAGCAGACAGCTATCTCTGTGTCACTGAGTTCTGAGAGGTTGATTGTGTGGCATTATTATGACAATGAGGGAATAATAAAGGAAAGGGTCAAGTAAAATTTAAGATCATGGTGCCGCACTAAGATAGGCATCAACTGGCCAGAAGATGCGGTTAATTGTTTAGAGCTGTTCTTGACTCTGAAGGGCTGAGGTCCCAGGCAGGCACTCACCATGCTGGCCTTGACCCTTCCATGACTGAGAATGGGTGTTGCTGAGAGTTCTGCTTGTGTGTAGAACCTCAGCACAAGCCCCTCACTCTCGGGAGCTGGTCCCCCACACTTGGGTAGAGGCAGGTGCTGGCTGCAAGGTGAACCGGTGCCCCACGTTGGGCGCCAGACCATAAAGGGAGCCAAAGGATACTTTACAGTTTATTATAAATCAAAATCTGTGCATAGAGATCACAGGAAGGAACAGGAACTCTGAGACGGGTCTCCAGCTGCTGCACCGGCAACTCTTTCCTGAAAGGGCCACACATCTTTCTGTCTGCCTTTTCATTCAGCCATGCCCATTCTCATGAAAACTACACCCTTGGGCCAAACCACTGCTCTCTACTGGCTAGCAGACCAGTGACAGAAATCCCTCACTGGTGAGCAGGCAGATGAACCAGCATGGACTAACAGGGGCAGAAGCTTCTGCTTGTGTTGCTCCCATGGCTTCCTGTCCCACTTGCCTCCTAGCACCTGGGAATCCTTCTCACCTTTTTTGTAATGAGTTCAGCTAGCTGTACTTTGAACTGTTAACATTTTTCCCCAAAATTTTTATGTATTTTTATTCCCGTCTTTCTGGATCATACAGTCTCCAGACCCTTCTTTTTATGAATGCATACTTCTCAGACAGGAGGGAGCAATAGGCAGAGAGAAACAGAAAGGGCCATGGGGACCAGTGGTTGGTTTCTTTGGACAAGCTGCCGACACAGTAGTCTCCACCTTCTACTTAAAAGTATTTTGAAAAAGCACATGTCTTGTAACTTATCTTACAAATGCATTCAAAATGGAAGTAATTGTAGAAGGTAATTTCCAACATATCTGAGATGTTTTCATTTAAAAATGTGTGATGATTCCATGTAATCGGCAGGCCTTAGTGATTTTGTAACAACCCTCATTTGTTAAAAAGCACACACATGACTTCTTTAAAAGTTTGAAGCGTGACATCATTTTTCTCTTTGAACTAATATTCCTATTTCATTTCCCCCTGAGCAACTTCATCTTGATGTAATGCTTTGCCTTTGAAAGTGTTTTATTGATCATCCTTCCATACTTCACAGAGATCCAAACATGCTCCTGAAATTAAATTTTATTCCCCATGATCATAAATCCATAAATGTTGACTGCATTTCTTCTGGACTGAATTATTTTTGGCAATTATTACTAATATGTAGTTGATCAAAACAACTATAAACTTTAATAAATAATTAAAAGGTGGAAATGCATCTTTTCAGTAGGTGAGTTAGGTCAAGACCCCATGGGAAAATATTGCTTACTGCTTGAATGGGACAAGATTCGGTATGTGCCTTGTGCTTACATTTTTGCCTTTACAGATACAAGACTGAGTGGGCTTTGTTCACACAAACAGGGCTGTAATAGGGTTGGAAAGTAAAGAGTTTTGCTCTTATTATTTGATTCCTTACATTTCTTCCAAATCACATCATGATCTATCGCGAACCTTATTTATTATTACTATTGCTATTATTATTATTATTAGTAGTAATAACTTGGTTTAGTTAGCAACTTGATTAGATGCTCCTACAAGGTTGGGTAAAGCAAAGAATTGAAGTCATGTGACTAGCAAAAAGGGAATGGAATTGTTATTTTCTCACCATGGAAACCAGTGGTTCAAAAGCAGAGCAATTGCCTAGTGTATCCAAGGCTCTGGGTTTGGTACACAGCATCATGCAAGGAAAAAGCAATCGATATTTGTTAGGTGGCCTGGGGTTTCCACATCTGGGGAGAATGCAGCACTAGGAGCTCCTGCAGAGGAGACAGGTTTTAACTTTGTGAATGGAAAGGGGAGAATCTTGAGGGCGAGGCCCCTGCTGGAGGTCTCAGGAAGACAGACTTTTCAGAGGGGTACATTGGTAGGTTGAGTATCTGAAATGGAAATTTGTTCCCCTTCAGGGTGCTAGTCCTGCCTTCCTCTACACAGCTTTTGAGCCCCACGCCATTGGACTGAGGTAGGCCTGGGGGTGGGCTCTCGGTTCCACCTTTCATCAGGAGAGGGAATGGGGGAGGGAGCTCCTCGGGCAGCTGAAAATCACAGAATGCCTGTGGCTTGTTTGTGAGCAACAGGACACAGAGTGAACTGATTTACTTGTCTTAGTCCTAATGTCACCTGCTGTGATGGTGACGACACTGATGATGGTGGTGACAGTGTAGACGGTGGCAAGGATGTTGATGGCGCTGATGACAGGCTTGATGGTGCTGATGATGCTGGCACTAATCTTGACTGATAGAGATGGTGATGACAATGACGGCAGCAAGTGCGCATGTGTGTGTGTGCTTGAACGCGCGCGTGTGTGTGTGTGTGTGTGTGTGTGTGTGTGTGTGTGTGTGTGTGTGTTCATGCTCAGTGTGGAAGCTCAGGCCCAATGTTGAGTTTCTTTCCTTGATCACTCTCCTCCATCATTTATTTATGTGTAGGCGGCTTTATTTTTTTATTTGTTACTTTCTTTTTTTTTTTTTTGAGACAGGGTCTCTCTGTATTGTTTTGGAGATTTCCTGGAACTTGCTCTACAGACCAGGCTGGCCTTAAACTCACAGAGATCCTCCTGCCTCTGCCTCCCGAGTGCTGGGATTAAAGGCGTGCGCCACCAACGCCCCGCTGATTTGTTACTTTTTCATTATGACATTCTTGTTGATTATTTCTGAGTTTCACATCACGTGACCTGATCACATTCACTTCCCAGTCTTTTCAGGTCCATGCCCTCCCCTCCCTTGTGACCTCCCCCAAAGGAAAGAAGAAACAAAGAAAAGAGAGAGAGAAAAAAAAGATGGAGTCCAGTTTGTGTTGCCCATGTGCTCACTGGAGCATGGTCAGACTCCCTTAGAGAGAACTGAGTCCTTCCCCACCCCATCCCTGCCGGAACCATAAATTGTGGAGCGCTTCATTTCAGCATTCCCATCAGACTTTAAGGCATCCTGTCTAGACCACTCCTTTTCTTTTTGGGGGATGGGGTGGTTGTCACCAAAGCCCTTCTGTGCGCCTTATTCTTGGCTGTGAGCCTGCAGTCATCAGCACCGCTGCAAAGGAAGCTCCCAGGCGCTTTTGTTTGCTTTGTTTTTCAATCCTATCCCAGCCACCTCAGGTCCCTGACTTTGTTTCCCTTTATTGATGGGCTGTAACTTGGAATTGTAAACCAAATACAACTTTTCTGCCCATAAGCTGCTTTTGGTCAGGATGTTTTATCACAGCGTCAGAAATGATGCTATAACTGATATGAACTCTGACCCCCAGGATTGCACAGCAAGCGGTCTTAACTGCTGAGCCATGCGTCCGGCTGCAGCACGTTTATTTTTCATTTTATTGTTTTCACTGACCCTGAAGCTTATCATGTTGGGCTGATCAGCCAATGAGCTTCAGGGAGCTCTCACTTTCTGTGCTGTGTCTCCCTGAGCCCCCTCTGCTTGCACTGGGATACAGGTGTGCTTTGCCACACCCAGTCTTTATGTGGGTCCTGGGAACCTATCCCTGTGCTTGTACAACAGGCGCTGACTGGCTGAACCAATCCCCCTAACACACTCCCCTGACACACTTCTGACTTTAATTCTCTGTTCTCCTTAGATATTTTACCTGCTTAGTCTGTCAAGCATTTTTTCCAGAACACTCCTTTAGCTGCTCAGTGTATACATACTTCTCCCGTTGTTGTCTCTTCTCCAATGCTGACTCCCATGAGATTTTTGTTTAAGGATTTATTTATTTTTATGTGCATTGATGGATTGTCTGCATGTATGTCTGTGTGAGGGTGCCAGGTCATCTGGAACTGGAGTCCCAGACAGTTGTGAGCTGCCATGTGGGTGCTGGGAATTGAACCTGGGTCCTCTGGAAGAGCAGTTGGTGGTGTGCTTAACCACTGAGCCATCTCTCCAGCCAGAGGTTGATAATGTTAAGACTCCATGCCCTCATCTGTCTCTTCTCAATATAATATCATTGCCAAAGTGACTTCTAACATATGCATCCCTGAAGTTGCCACCATCTTCCCGATGAGGTTTGGCCAGGGCTGGATGCTGTGACATTGCCCTATCCTCTGTTCTGTGGATGCTATCTGAATACTTCTGTGACGCCACCAAGCATAGATTCAGATGCTGTTCTTCTGCAACCCCAATTTCCTCTCTTTTTCTGTGCTTTCAGAATTGACAAATTGTGACCCGATCTATGAGACTTCATGGCTACCTCTGTGGAATTCCATCTTGATGTCTGCAGTCTATGCTCTGGCCTGATAAAGGGATTTGCATTCCGATTCTGCTCCTTAGGCAGGGCAAAGCATGCTAAGGATGGGCAAGGAATGGCATAGTGGAGAGTAGGGGGTACTGTTGTGAACTTACCCCATCCATGAGGCCACTTTTAAGGGTCCCTGTAGCATGTATTCTTTCCCACCAGCTGCCTGGTCCTGCCGCTGTTTCTGCCCCCAAATCACACATGAGACACTATATTAATTATGAAGCTGTTGGCTGTTTGTTAATGTTTCTTAATGGCTAGCTCTGACTTAATTATTAACCCATAATTACTAATATATATTTTTATAAGGTTTTATCTTACCAAGAACGCCAGACTTGTGCTTGCATTCTCTCCTCCTGGGATCACATGGTAACCCTCTACTCTTGACTACATTTCCCAGAATCCTCCTCACTCCTAGTCCCACCTATTCTGCTTCCCTATTGGCCAACAGTGCTTTATTTACCAGCTAATAGGACAACATATACACAGAAGGACTTCCCCCACCAGGTCCCTTTGCTTAATAGTGATCACAGACATTATTTAGGGATAGGTGAAAGCTATAGGCTTGTTTCACTTATTTGTCGCCTACTAAACTATATGTTATGGTATATTCTGATAAAGTTAAATCTCAGTAAATTCAGTTAGGTACACATGAAAGACCCCCAGAGTGGGGAGACCCTCACTCAAGTCTCGGGATAAGCCGATGCCCCAATGATTCAAGAGAGACCGTTCTTGCTGCAAGCACACGAGGTTTATTCGGGGAACCAGTGCACTGGGGCCGAGCTCATGACCCTCACAGGGGCAGAGGATTTCCACCCCTAGTAGCTGCAGTCGGGGGTTATTAAAAGGGAAAAAACGAATTGGGGAGTTAGGCAAACATCATAAAGGATGAGGAAGTTAAATGATAGCTTATGTCTTAACAGGAAGGTTGTCTCAAGCAAGCATTCTTTGGGCATTGTACAGTTAAACATTGATCAGGAATGTGGTGAGCTAGTTCCTGGATCAGGGAGGGTTATCTTTTATGTTTATCTTGAGGTCTCCGGTTTCTCAGGAGAGGGCAGAAGGGCAAGTCACTCTGTGATGCGCTAGTCACTAGGGGTCTAAAAATGTTGAGTTGGGATCTTTCACACAACAGTTTACTGGCAGACACGATGGCAGAAAGAGTAACACAACTCACACTTCTGGCTGGGGCAGACGGCAATCCTGAGAAAGTCCTGGATGGAACCTTCAGCCCTGAGCTCCTGAGGTCAGGTCACTGGCTCCACAGGTCTCTTATTTCCCCATCTGCAATGAGACGAGGATGCTTGGGTGCTTCTCTGCTCTTGCATCATGAACTGCATCCACTTCAGCAGTGAGAGCATTTTCTATCATGTATTACTGTAACAAAGGTGAAGGGATGGTCAAAAACCAAGTGGGTCTCGATGCTTAGAAGCAACCACCTCAGAGTGTGAGGTTTTCAGGAGAGCATTTCAGATCTAATGACCATTTCCCATGAAGGGACTTTGGATGTCAGCTGCCTCCCCTGGGCTATGTGTGTGACAGTGTCTTACATGTTTATATGTATTACTTGCATACTGAAGAATTTTCGTGGTGACAGTGGTAGATTGTGAGCCTGGAATCTGGGGCTGGGTTTCCTTCCCTGCTCATGCTACCTGATTCTGTATAGTACATGTCCTGCTGTGGCCACCGTAGTTATACAAGGTGTTCCTATGACTGCTAATCTGTGTGTGAGAGGACTCAGTACACACTCTACAAAGTCATGTGGCTTGAGGGAACAGAAGAGCTCTGCTGGTGGCAGTGGGGGAAGCTTGGGTTAGCAGAAAGGGAACATAAAGCTGCCTGCCCTCAGAATTCTTATTTTGCAATGCTGGGCTGGGTGTTCTGCTGGATAAGTGAGGTGTCACAGGAACCCACCAGAGGTTTTGCCACAAGGGATCTGCCTTGCTGTGGGAAAGGATAATATAAAGGCAGTGAAGAAACCTCGCTGCTCAGCACTGGGGGGCTGGCCCTTGGTGATTCTTGGAAATCCCAGCACGGTTGTTCCTGGAGACTGGGGTGGGGGTCGAGAGTGCAGGGTGGGGGGGTGGGGTAAGGGGTATGAGGCACTGCAGCCTCTTTGCGCAGAACTGGGCTGAGGGACGGGAGGAAATCCTTTGGTGAGGGCAAAGGCTGAAGCCCATTGGCTTTGTATCAAAGTAACCAGGGTAGGGACTTGGGGTCATGCTTCGGTATCCTGCCCCTCTGCGCCATGTATGACTGGGCAGGTGACACTCCTTCCTGGGCCCCAGTCTTCTGACTCTCCAGCCCTAACCCTAACCCTAAACCTAATCCTAACCCTAGCCCTAACCCTAGCCCTAACCCTAACCCTAACCCTAACCCTAACCCTAGCCCTAGCCCTAGCCCTAGCCCTAACCCTAACCCTAACCCTAACCCTAGACCTAACCCTAACCCTAACTTTTCTGACTCTCCAGCCCTAACCCTAACCCTAGCCCTAACCCTAACCCTAACCCTAACCCTAACTTTTCTGACTCTCCAGCCCTAACCCTAACCCTAGCCCTAACCCTAAACCTAACCCTAACCCTAACCCTAGCCCTAGCCCTAGCCCTAACCCTAACCCTAACCCTAACTCTAGCCCTAGCCCTAACCCTAACCCTAATCTAACCCTAACCCTAGCCCTAACCCTAACCCTAACCCTAACTCTAGCCCTAACCCTAACCCTAACCCTAACCCTAACCCTAACCCTAACCCTAACTCTAGCCCTAGCCCTAACCCTAACTCTAACCCTAACCCTAGCCCTAACCCTAGCCCTAACCCTAACCCTAACCCTAACCCTAGCCCTAGCCCTAACCCTAACCCTAACCCTAACCCAGCTGGGTACAGACATGGTGATTTCATATGCATTAAATCCCAAGAGCCAAAACATTGAAAATCTTTCTGGAATAAGTGACTAAAACCCAGCAAATGTTAATATCTTGTTAATATAGATGCTTGAATGATTTGAATGTGGAAAGAAATTGATTGTGAGAGGCCGTGCGTCACTGCTGTGACTCAGTGAGCATCTGCAGGCTGGTGACAGTGTTCCCATCTTTTTTTTTAACACATAAAAAAGGCATGACGAGGGATGGGGAGGTGGCCCAGATGTTACGAGTGTGCACTGCTCTGGCAGAGAACCCATCTGTAATCCAGCTCCAGGGCACAGGATGCCCTCTTCTGGGCTTCAAGGGCACCTGCATTCTCATGCAGAAACAGACCCACAGATACGTGTATAACTAACATCTTTTATAAAGGCCCACAGAGACGTTTATGCCCAGAGTTCTTTGTCTTCTAACACCATTGCACTTATTCCCATTCTTTGTGTGACTAATCAGGACCCCAAGGAACCCTTTTCAGACCTGGACTTTACAGCCCAGAATCGAACTGGGTGCCCTAACCCCAGAGATGAGAGAGAGAGAGGCAGAAGCAGGCCGATCAGTGTGAGTTCGAGGCCAGTGTGGTCTACATGGCGAGTTTCAGGTCTTCCAGAGCTGCACAGTGAGACCCTGTCTTAAAAAACAAACGCATACAAACAACAACAAAACAAACAAACAAAAAACCAGAACCAGCCACCCTATTTTCACGACCAAATGGAGACCAAGACTGTGGAACGTTCCTGGCCCGTTTGCGTGAACAGGCATGTCAGTCAGCTTAGCTGATGTGATAAAAGGCCTCAGGCTGTCCATTTGTAAGGAGAACAGATTCCTGTGGCTCCCACTCCAGAAACTTCAGCCCTCACTTGGCTGCCTCCGTTGTTCTGAGCTGTGGTGAGGAGGAGCAACATCATGATGGGGAGTATATCTCTTGGGCACCTGGGTTCTTCCCCAGTTCCTCTCTTTCCTGGTGGTCCTGCCTAACCTCCCCTGCCCAGCTGTTGGCCATTCAGCTCTTTATTAAACCAATCAGAAGGTGCCGGCCCCACAGCGTGATCAAATATCCCACAACACTGGTAATCAAGCCTCCAGCAGATGAACCACCTTGAATGGCCTTGAAATTCAAATCGTCTCAGCATCGAGACCACGAGTGGGGTATGGTGGTACTCAGACACGCAGAAATGGGTGTAGGAGGACCATCCTTGGCTAGGCTGGGTAAACTGAATGTCCTGCAATCACCCACGTCAAAAAGCTCCATGTGATGGCGTGCCTCGCAATCCTAGAGCTGAAAGGAAGAGGCAAGCAGACCCCTGGGGATCACTAGCCATCTGGCCTAGCCAAACAAGAGACTGTGCTGGTTCTTCTTCTTTTTTTGAGACAGGTTCTCTATACAGAGCCCTGGGTATCCTAGAACTCAGCACATAGACCAGGCTGGCTTTGAACTCACAGAGATGCATGTGGCTCTGCCTTCCAAGTGCTTGCCTTAAAGGCATGCACTAGCATGCCCAGTCTTAGTTTTTGAGTCAGCTTGGTACAAGGTAGGGTTATGTGGGAAGAAGGGATTGTAATTGAGAAAAAAATGCCTCCATAGGATTTGCCTGTAGGCAAATCTGGAGGGTATTTTCTTGATTGTGGGTGGTGCCACCCCTGGGCAGGTGGTCCTGAGATGATAAGAAAATAGGCTGAGCAAGCCAGGAGGAGCAAGCCAGTGAGCAGCATCCCTGCATGACCTCTGCCTCAGCTCCTGCCTCCAGGTTCCCGCCCTGTTGGAGTTCCTGGCCTGACTTCCCTCAGCGATGGACTGTTTCGTGGAACTGTGAGTGAAATAAACCCTTTCCTCCCCAAGTTGCTTTGGTCATCACTGCAATAAGAGCCCTAAGAGAGAGACGCTGTCCAAACAAAACAAAACAACAAACAACAAAACAAAACACCTTCCCCAACCAAGGTGAATGGTACCTGAGGAACACCTTTAAGATTGGCTTCTGGCCTCCACACCCACGCGTGCGCACACACACGCGAGCGCGCGTGTGTGTGTGTGTGTGTGTGTGTGTGTGTGTGTATGTGTGTACCCCGCCCCCTCACCCTCAACACACATTCATCACTAGCTACACAGTGAATTCGATGCTAACCTTGACTTCATGAAAGCCTCTATCAAAAACAAAACAAATAAAAACATTTTAGGAGACAGACGTATCCTGAGCAGGGATTTCCTCCCCAAATCCACTCGGTTATCATGTAGCTGAAGAACTAGGCGGCTCTCATTTTCTTGCATTTGGCAAACATCTCATATAGAG